CGTGGCGTGTCTGTTTCCACTTTCGTGTGCATCTTTTTTTTTTTGTACAGATTACACTCTTCTCCCCCCCCCCCCCCCCCCCCCCCCAAATTCTTGGAAGCTTTAACAATATCCTGTACTTGTTGGCTATATTCTCTCCCTGCCCAATCCACCACTTGGAAATTCCTCCTATTGTTTTGTTGCAGGTTTTTTTATGTATAGTACTTCAGATTTATTTAATGCACTTTACATTCGAACATAAATCTAAGGTTTCTTCAACACTGAAAACTTCAGATGGCAACATTATACTCTATTTTTAACAATAATTTTATTAAAAATTTCAACTTCATCAATAAAAACAAATACCAACTAAAAAAGAAAAACAGAATCTGCAGAAAAGAAAAATAGGAAAAGAAAATGAAAAGAAATATATAAAGAAAAACTTATCACCTTCTCTTAAAATACAATGATCTCTTCTTCCCACATCTACTCTCTTAAATAGGAACAATTCTTTTAAAATCTCATTATTTCAGTCTCGATCATAAAAAATATCCATTAAGGATTACCAGAGATTACAACATATCTACTTTTTTAGCCTTGATCAAATAAACCAGCTTTACATTCCTTCCTTGTATTCTTAATAATCTTAATTTTTTTTATCCCTTCAAATAATGTCACCCCCAATTTATTTTTACTTTTCTTCATCTCTTCTCAAAAAAGTCTTCAAGGCTTTAAGAATATTCTTTTATAATTCTAATATGGGAAGATTATCCCAGTCAGTCTTGTTTTGTTATTTGTATATCCCCTCTAATTATTATCTGTTTCTTTTGTATATCCAGCGTAGCATCATTTTCTATATCATTTTTGAAGCTTTTAAATTCACTTTCGAAATCAGTCTCAGTCTTGTCTGATAAAACTAGTTCCTCTACCATAACATCTTTTAACTATATGTCTACAGAGGCAGAAACTCTTAATGTTAACTTCTGGATCCATTGTTGAAAAATATTCTTCAATAAGTCAAATATTAAAATATTTTGCTCAATTATGTAAACCAAATTTAAGTGATCTTCTTTAATTGTAATATTTAGTTGGGGTAGTGGCTAAGACATGAGACTAGAAGCAAAGAGACTTATCTATTGATAAGCCCTACAGATTAGTTCTGCATTTGGTTCTCTTTTAGTGCCAGAAATATGGAATGCGTGAAGAACCATCAAGTGGTAAGACCATACTTGGAATACTGCATTCAGTTCTGGTCACCACATTACAAAAAAGATGCGAGAGTTTGGAAAGACTGCAGAGAAGAGCAACTGAGATGATTAAAGACCTAGAGACTAAAACATATGAAGGATGACTGCAAGAATTGGGTATGGCTAGTCTAGAAAAAAGAACGACTAGGGTGGGACGTGGTAGCAGAATTCCAGTATTTGAGGGGCTGCCACTAAGAAGAGGAGAGGGTCATATTTTCCAAAGCATCAGAAAACAGGACAAGAAACAATGGATGGAAACCAATCCAGGAGAGAAATTTCTAAAGAGAAATTTCCTAACGGTGAGAACAATTAATCATTGGATGGTTTTCCTCCAGAAGCTGTGGGTGCTCCATCACTGAAGGTTTTCAAAAAGAGACTGAACACTTATCCGCCAATGGTATAGGGTCTCCTGCTTGAGCAGGGGATTGGACTAAAAGACCTCCAAAGTCCTTTCCAACTCTACTCTATGTACTCTAAGTTTCTTTTGGTGTCCTCTAGTGTAAACTTCTAAGTCTCATTCTCTCTCTCTTTTTTTTTTCAAGAATTCAAAGCCAAAAGTATTTTCCTACAGGAAGGATTTTTATAATTAAGTCCAAAATCTTATTTTGAATCCATCTGGAACCCTTAGTCTATTCGTAACTTTCTGAAAATCAAAACATTTAATCATAAATTTGCTATTTATTTTAGAAAAATAGTCCTTGTATTGTATTATAAGTTAGTTATAGAACTTATATTTAAAACTTCTTTCACTATCGATTGAAGGAAACTCACCTGTTATTGTAAAACCTGTTAATCCAGGTTCCTAATAGATGGAAACCAGTTAACAAGCGATTTCCGAAAGTAATTAGAAAAGGAAGTACTCAAACCCTATTTCCTTAAAGGCACTGGCCATGGGTTGAGTAAGGAAGCTATTCCCTGGTCTCTAAGCCCACTGGAGCCCTAAGCCCACTGGAAACACCTATCTTGCAGTCTCTTCACAAGAAAGCAACTATCTGGAGCATCTGTAGGCCATCTCAAGTCATTTCTTTGTCCAGAGAAAAATTACAAAGAGCTGGTTTACTCACGGGCTACTCATTGTGTTGTGGTTGTCGATTATTTTGCCATTTCTTCCCCAGAAGGCAACATTATATTCTAAAACCCTAAAGCACTTCAGAGCAGATCAAAGCAGAATAATAGAGTTGAAAGGGACCTTGGAGGTTTTCTAGTCCAATCTACTGCTCAAGCAAGAGACCCTAATACCATTTCAGACAAGTGGCTGTCCAGTCTCTTCTTAAAAGTCCCCAATGATGAAGCACCCACAACTTCTGAAGGCAAACCATTCCACTGGTTAATTGTTCTCATTATTAGAAAATTTCTCCATAGTTCCAGGTTGCTTCTCTCCTTGATTAGTTTTCATCCATTGTTTCTTATCTTGCTTTTGGTGTTTTCAAATAATAGGCACTTTAAAGGCTAACCAAATGTTATCCCTTAAGTGTCTATTTTTCACTGTCCCTCCATCAGATGGATTACAGTTTTTATAAATACTTGTTCTCTTTCAAGAAACTAACTAGCATAGTCCCTTCAGATAAGTTGAGCCTATTATTCTCCCAGATTCTTATTTAAATCAACCACTTCTCCACACTATGCTTTAACAGCAAATATTAAAAAGCTTCCAATTCACTTGTGAATAGGTATAAAATATTTCCAGTCATGTTCTCTCATTTAGATTAGACTGCTGCTTTCAATCCTATGGACTTTTCTTAAACAAACCTATTATACTTGAGCTGTTTCTTTCTCCATGCATGTAAAAACCTCTCCTTACAACAATCTTATATGATGAATTTAGGTTGAGAAACACAATCATGGAGAACTAGTTCCAAGTCTCCATTCAACTATGGAAACTCACTGGATGAATCTGGATCAGCCCTTTCCAGCTGAACCTACCTCATACAATTGTGGCAGGGATAAAAACACAGGGGTACCCTTGGCCATTGTACGTTACTTTCAGTTTCCTGAAGAAAAGTTGGGTATAACTGGGGATTTGAATGAGTTCTGATTAGCCAAACTCAGTTAAACACATTATACATCACACTATACCAGCTCTTAAAAGACGTAATCCTTATTTCAAATCTTTGGTCAGTCTGCAGATGTAGCACTGATGCACTAATAGTGTATTTACACTGCAAACTCTTCTAACTCTGGAAGTGCAATAGAGTGAGGATGGTGATCAAATTAATTTGAGGGGTATACCACTTTCCTTCTGCCATCATGGCCTCTAGTAAAGCACAAGGAATAGTCACATTGCTTTCCTACCCCATTAGGGAAATATACAATATATATATATATTTAATTTTTGTAGCACAGTGCATTAGAATTATCCTAAATGTTGCTTTAGGGTATGAAAAACCTGGATTATTTTGAGAAAGCTTCTGTATATAATAGTCTTCAGGATCGATTTAAAAATAAGAATGATTATATCGTGGCCTACCTCACAAAGTCCTTGTGAATGAAAAAGGATTGTAAAGCACTCTGCACTCTTATGCCAAGAATTACTATGATAATCATATTGAGGACAGAAGAGGAGATAGTACTCCACCCCATAACACAAACACACATAACACAAAATATGCATATATTAGATTACCAGAACTAGGTTGCAAAATTTTGAAAACCACTGGATCAGGGGTGTCAAACTCAATTTCATTGAGGGCCACATCAGGATTGTGTTTGAGCTCGGGGAGGTGCGTGTGGCCAGGGTGGGCATGGTCAGAATTGACGTCACTCTTATTGAGGGCACCTGTGGTGGCCTCAGCGCTCTGAAAGCGAAAACAAGCTCTTGAGCTCGATTTTTGGCTGTGATCGTCTCCTGTAACCCTCTGCCAGCCAGAACAGAGCTCGGGAGGGTCACACCACTGCGGCCCAGCCCTTCACTGTTTCCAGTCAGCCCTGTATGCCAGATCTAAACACTCTATGGGCCTTGAGTTTGACACCTCTGCACTAGATGACCATAACCACTAGGTGAAAAACGTTGATAATGGCTAGAAAACGATTTGGGGTTTTCTCCTTTGCTGCCACCTAGTGACTCTGAGTAATTTTGCAGCCCAGATGTATCCCTACATATAAACATACCAGCTTTTTATCAGAAATCGGTTTACAATAAAGCATTAAGTTTGTTTGGAAAGTTCTCAGGCAACTTCATACCATACAGTTGTTTTTGCAATTTCACAAAAGCTATTCCAACTATAACAAAAGATGGATGGTGTTTATCAAGCCCTCCTCCTCTCCTCTCTTCTCTCCTTTAAACTCTCAATGTTCCTTCCTGCTTCACTCCAGTAGTTCTCTCTGTGGGTTGGTTGGTCTACCTGGTGTTTGCTCTGTACATGTAGTTTCCCTCACTGGATAATCCCCCTCCCTCAAGTTGGAAAGAATTACCTTGTTGTTGTGTAAATATATAAATATTATTTATGAAACTGAAAATGGTTTGGAAAAGAATGTGCATGTTGACTTAGGTGATGGAAAATGTCTTTCTATCCTCTCTTTTCAACCATAGAGTTGTTTCCTATTGTAGGAATTCCCACATAGCCAGCCCAACTTAATTCACCAATTCAAACTTCC